ACACACACAAATGACATCAAATTGGTCTCAAAAGTTCTTAGATGAACTAACATTGCCTTACTAGAACTTATTCTATTTATAAACATTTTAATTTTTAAAACTTTTGACTCTTTTGTAATAATTTTTGCTTAAAATGCAAATCTTATAAGCAGCAGTAGTTTCTTGTCCCAATATACCCTCACGGGGCCACCATTCTATACATCCTATACATGAGTCATCATTGACCAAAATACTGCTAGGTGGCACCAGACAGTATAATTAAAGTTTATGCAGAAAAAGCAAAGCTGGCTCAGCATTGGAAAAATCTACCAGAGTAATCCACCATATGTTTAAAGTTGACCATGAAGACTAGACAGGTATTTAATAAGCCACTTATGAGTAAATACATATGATATTTGTCTTTCGGGGTTTGGGTTACCTCATTCAATATGGTAATTTTAGATCCATCCATTTGCCCACAAATTTCAAGATAGCATTGTTTTTTTTCTGTTGTGTAGTACTCCATTGTGAAAATGTATCACATTTTCCTTATCCATTCTTCGGTAGAGGGAAAGTTAGGTTGTTTCCAGGTTCTGCCTATGACAAACAATGCTGCTATGAACATAGTTGATCACATGTCCTTGTGGTATGATTGAGCATCCTTTGGGTATATGCCCAACAGCAAGCGGTATTGCTGGGTCTTGAAGCAGGTTGTTTCCTTATATTCTGAGATATCACCACACTGATATCCAAATGGGCTGTACCAGTTTGCATTCCCACCAGCAATGGAGGAGTGTTCCTTTTACCCCACATCATCTCCAGCATAAGTTGTCATCAGTGGTTTTGATCTTGGCCATTCTTACAGGTGTAAGATGGAATCTCAGAGTTGTTTTAATTTGCATTTCTCTGATGACTAAGGATGTTGAGCATTTCCTTCAGTGTTTTCAGCCATTTTAGATTCCTCTGTTGAGAGTTCTCTGTTTAGGTGTGTATACCATGTTTTTATTGGATCATATGCTCTTTTGATGACCAATTTCTTCACTTCTTTGTATATTTTGGAGATCAGCCCTCTATCTGATGTGGGGTTGGTGAAGATCTTTTCCCACTCTGTAGGCTGCCATTTTGTCTTATTGACCATGTCCTTTGCTTTACAGAAAGAAGCTTCTCAGTTTTCAAAGTTCCCATTAATTAATTGTTTCTCTCAGTGTCTGTGCTACTGAGGTTATACTTACGAAGTGATCTCCTGTGCCAATGCATTCAAGTGTACGTCCCACTTTCTCTTCTATAAGGATCAGTGTGGTTGGCTTTATGTTGAGGTCCTTAATCCATTTGGACTTGAGTTTTGTGCATGGTGATAGATCTATTTTCATTCTTCTACATGTTGACATCCAGTTATGCCAGCACCATTTGTTGAATATGCTTTCTTTTTTCCATTTTATATTTTTTGGTTCTTTGTCAAAAATCAGGGGTACATAGGTGTGTGGATTGATATTTGGGTCTTCGATTTGGTTCCATTGGTCCTCCTGTCTGTTTTTATGCCAATACCAGACTGTTTTCAGTACTGTAGCACTGAATTAGAGATTGAAGTCAGGGATTTATGATTCCTCCAGAAGTTCTTTTATTGTACAGGATTGTTTTAGCTATCCTGGGTTTTTTGTTTTTTTTGCTTTTCCATATGAAGTTGAATATGGTTCTTTTGAGGTCTGTGAAGAACGTTGCTGGGATTTTGATGGAATATTGCACTGAATATGTAGATTGCTTTTGGTAAGATTGCCATTTTTACTATATTAATTCTGCCTACCCAAGAGCATAGGAGATCTTTCCACTTTCTGGTGTCTTCTTCAATTTCTTTCTGAAAAGATTTAAATTTCTTGTCATACAGGTCTTCTACTTGTTTGTGTAGTAGTAGGGGTGGCGGGGCTGCGTCCCCGGCACCCAGCCGCCCCCACGGCTAGCTTTACCAGAAATAATTACACGGAAACTGTATTCTTTTAAACACCGCTTGGCCCATTTCTATCTAGCCTCTTCTAGGCTAGCTCTCACACCTGCACTAGCCCATTTCTAATAATCTGCTGTAGCCCACGAGCTGGCTTACCAGGAATGATCTTAACCTGCGTCTGTCTGGAGTGGGAGAATCATGGTGACTCCTTGACTCAGCTTCTTTCTCCCAGCATTCTGTTCTGTTTACTCCACCTACCTATGTTTTAACCTATGAGGGCCAAGCAGTTTCTTTATTGCTTAACCAATGAAATCACCAGATTGATATATGACACTCCCACATCATGTTTGATTAGAGTTTCTCTGGATACTTTATGCTATTCATGGCTATTGTGAAGGGTGATGTTTCTCTGATTTCTTTCTCTGCCCACTTATCGTCTGTGTAAAAGAGGGCTACTGATTTTTTTTTTTTCAGTTCATCTTGTATCCTGCTACATTACTGAAGGGGTTTATAAGTTGTAGAAGTTCTTTGGTAGAATTTTTGGGGTCACTTATGTAAACTATCATATCATCAGCAAACAGTGACAGTTTGACTTCTTTTCTGAGTTGTATCCCCTTGATCTCCTTTTGGTATCTTATTGCTCTAGCTAGGACCTCAAGAACTATATTGAATAGATATGTAGAGAGTGGACAACATTACCTTGTTCCTGATTTCAGTGGAATTGCTGGGCGTTTCTCTCCATTTAGTTTGATGTTGGCTGTTGGCTTCCTGTATATTGCCTTTATTATGTTTAGGTATGTTCCTTGTATCCCTGCTGTCTCCACGACCTTTATCATGAAGGGATGTTATATTTTGTCGAAGGCTTTTTCAGCATCCAATAGGATCATATGGTTTTGTTTTCTTCAGTTTGTTTATATTATGGATTACATTGACAAATTTTCATAGGTTGAACCATCCCTGCATCTCTGGGATGAAGTCAACTTGATTATGGTGAATGATTTTTCTGATGTGTTCTTGAATTTGGCTTGCCAGTATTTTGAGTATTTTTCATCAAAGTTCATGAATGAAATTGGTCTGCAATTCTCTTTCTTAGTAATGTCTTTCTATGGTTTGTCTATCAGGGTAATTGTAGCCTCATAAAAAGAGTTTGGCAATGTTCCTTCTGTTTCTATTGTGTGGAAGAATTTGAGGAGTATTGAAATTAGCTATTCTTTGAAAATCTTGTAGAATTCTGTGCTGAAACCATCTGGCCCTGGCCTTTTTTTTGGGGGGGGGGGGGGCTTTTGATGACTGTTTCTATTTCTTTAACAGTTATAGGTCTACTTAATTTGCTTATCTGGTCTTGATTTAATTTTGGTAAGTGATATTTATCCAGAAAGCTGTCCATTTCAAGTATTCTAATTTTGTGGAATACAGGTTTTCAAAATATGACCTAATGATTCTCAGGATTTCCTCTGTGTCTGTTGTAATGTCCCCCTTTTCATTTCTGATATTGTTAATTTGGATATTCTCTCTCTGCCTTTTGGTTAGTTTGGATAAATGTTTGTCTATTTTGTTGATTTTCTTGAAGAACCAACTCTTTGTCTCATCGATTCTTTGTATTGTTTTCTTTGATTCTATTTTGTTGACTTCAGCTTTCAATTTGATTATTTCCTGCCATCTAATCCTCCTGGATGAGTTTGTTTCTTTTTTTTCTAGAGTTTTCAAATGTTCTATTAACTCACTAGTGTGGGATTTTTCCAGCTTCTTTATGTAGGCATTTAGTGCTATGAACTTTCTTCTTAACACTGCTTTCATTGTGTCCTATAAATTTGAGTATGTTGTGTTGTCATTTTCAATGAATTTTAGGAAGTCTTTAATTTCTTCCTTGACCCACTGATGCTCAGGTAAGCCTTGTTTAATTTCCATTTGTTTCTGTAATTGGTGTTGCTCTTGAATTCTAATTTTAAGCCATGGTAATTCAATAAGATACATGAGGTTATTCAAATTTTTTCTACCTGTTGAGGTTTGCTTTGTTACCTAGTATGTGGTCCATTTTTGAGAAGGTTCCATGAGGTGTTGAGAAGAAGGTATATTCTTTTATATTTGGATGGAATATTCTATAGATATCTGTTAAGTCCATTTGAGCCATAACATTTGTTAATTCCCTTATTTCTCTATTAATTTTCTGTCTGACAGACCTGTACAGTAGTGAGAGGGGAGTGCTGAAGTCTCCTGTTATTAGTATGTGGGGCTTAATGTGTGGTTAAAGCTTTAGAAGTGCTTCTTTTACATATGAGCTCCCTTGTACCATAACTGATTTCTTCACACTTTAGAAAATTAAACACTTAAAGTTGACAAAGTATATGTTGTAGAAACATCTATTACATAGCATACTGTCTTACACTGAAACTAAAAATTTGAAGGAAACTGAAAATACAACATTAATGAGAGACATAGGTAAGTAAGCATTGACTGTACAGCATGGTAGGACTCATTGACAAGAGAGTAGACAGTGCCATAGTAACGAAGGACAGATAGCAACACCTGACTTTATTGAGACAGTTACCTCAGTAGATAATCAATACTTTCTGGGAAAGAAAAAAATTATTTTCATTTCTGTATAGCTCAATACTTGAGACAATGTCTAATACATGACAATTCTTCAGTAAATGCTTACTTTTTTACACTCATTCATTCATTTACTATGTATGTGTGAGAAAGAGTGTGGGCATTTATGTATCATGCCACAAATATAGAAATCAGAGAATAGCCTGCAGGACTCAGTTCTGTTGTGTGGGTTTCTGGAGATCAATTTCAGGTAAAGGTACTCCAACACCCCTGAGCCATCTTGCTGGTTAGTAAATGCTTCCTCAGTAAGTGTGTAAAAGAACACAATAGATAAAAATTTAGTAGTGACCTGGAATACTGATAAATGCCAGGCAGAGAGTATCGATAAAGTAATGATTTAATTGGAATCCAATATTTTCTAGAGTCTATCTGCATTCAGATACATTACTGCATGCTTACACACACACACACACACACACACACACACACACACACACACACTCCCTACCCACTACCAATCCTAATTACTCACGGATACAAGGGGTTTGTATTGGCCAGTTGGAGAGTGTGTGTTTCCACAGGTTCCACAGCTATTAGCATGTCTTGTTCCACAGCCATGGGAAGAACAGAGTATCCACAGTAATCAATGTGCTCTCCTAGACAAAAGAGAAAAGCAGGTTTTACCATCGCTAGCATATGAAATAAAAGAAGCTCACTCTAGCTGTGTAAACAGCAGTTGCTGGAAAGAACCGCAGATTTACTGGAGCTTCAAGTCCGAGTAGAAACTCACGCATCTTTAGCCCCCTTAGAAGCCATCCGTTACATACTGCTCAGTGTGACTGAGCATCCTTGTAGCTACTGGGTCAATCCTTCAGATACATGGGCAGACCCCCTAACCTTCACCAACCAAAGGCCAATTGTACCCAGCAGGTAGCATCGACAGCCAAGAATTGAGAATTCTCCACCTTGCAGTAACCCGCCTGCCTGATGCTTCCACCAATGTATCTGAAACATGTCTTGATGTGTGGTTTCCTTTTCTGGTAATATAAAACCTTATGAGGCTGTTCCATGTTGGAACATGAGGTTGGAGTAAACTGTATCAATGTCCCCATGTCATGGTCACTCATAATTGGTTCCAAAATAAATTCTTATCCCCTTACAGGTGAAAGCTATGATTCTTGCACAGACAGTTAACGTACAGGAAAAACATGGCCACGTTTTAATAAAAAGTGAAATACTCTGGGCAGATAGATACTCAATTTACTTTCTACCAAACATTTTAAGGCAACTTCTGTTAGTCATAAGTAATTTGTTTTGGTTAATTTGGAGGCTTCTTTTTTATCTTAAGCTTGTTTTTCCACTTTCTAATTTGTTTTGTTTTCTTTTCTTTTTAACATACTTTTGTTGATTATTCGGAAATTTCAAACAATGCATCCTAGTCACATTCGCTTCCAGTCCTCCAAGGCCCAGCCCCCAGCCTTGTGACCACCCCAAAACAAAACAAGAAGAAAAAAAGAAAAAGAAAACAAAAACATACCAAGTCCAATTTGTAGCCAGACCCTTAAAGAAAACTGAGTCCTTCTCCACCCCAACTCCCATCAGAGGCCATCAACTGTGAAGAGCTATACCTCAGCATCTCTAGCACAATTTTTGAGAGTTCTCTTCAGTGACTTCCTGTCTAGACTGTTTTTTTCTTTGAGGGGGAGAGCCTGTGGAGGGAGAGGAAGGTTGTCACAGAAGCCTTCCTCCATGTCTCATTCTCAACTGTGAGTGGTGACAATACTACTGCAAAGGAAGCTTCCCTGTCCTTTATAATCTGCAGCAGCGCGGCTCATGGGATTCCACATGGTTTCTGACTACAACATGGGCCACAAACATCAATATGGCTTCAGGTGGTAGCACAGACCACTGACATCCTCACGGCCTTCAGAGGTAACACAGACACTATCATGGCCGTTGGCAGCAACAGGTTTCAGTGATAGTACAGACCACAGACATGCACACAGCCTCCAGCCACAGCAAAGACCACAGACACCATCATGGCCCTTGGCAGCAGCACAAGCCCCAGACTTCAACATGGTTTAATGGCTGCAACATGGCCCTCAGACATCAACATGGCCCTCTGACATCAACATGGCACTCTGACATCAACATGGCCCTCAGACATCAACATGGCCCTCTGACATCAACATGGCCCTCTGACATCAACATGGCCCTCTGACATCAACATGGCCCTCTGACATCAACATGGCCCTCTGACATCAACATGGATTCTGGTGGCAGCACAGGCCATGAATGTCTCGTCAGAGGAAATATGGGCCATGGGCATCGGCACAGGTCCTGGCGGCAGCACAGACCACAAACATCAGCGTGGACTCTGTTGGTAACAAGAACCACAGACACTAACATGGCCTGAGGTGGCAACACATGGTCTCCACCACTTTCTAATTTACAACAATCATTTTCCAAATTTATGTCATGTGACTATAAAGCAGCAAGCTGACTACCATCTCACAGTGGATGCACAGCTATTTATTTCCCTGGTATAGACTTATATATCTCATTGTTTCTTTGGCAGATAATAACTAGTGAGGAAACATGAAATTAACAGATGACAATTCAACTGCACATTCATTTTTATTCCAGATATTCTTTTATTCTTTTTTTTTTTTTTTTTTTTTTTTTTTTTTAGTTTTTCGAGACAGGGTTTCTCTGTAGCTTTGGAGCCTGTCCTGGAACTAGCTCTTGTAGACCAGGCTCGCCTTGAACTCACAGAGATCCGCCTGCCTCTGCCTCCCAAGTGCTGGGATTAAAGGCGTGCGCCACCACTGCCCAGATATTCTTTTGGCAGACAGGCTTTTGCCTCTACATTGATATTCGCTTTAGAACGGGATAATAAGGGTCTTTTATGGATTAACAATGACAGGTGAAGAATTCATTTACAAAGTTGTATTTTTATCCAATTATCAAGAGGATAACAATAATGAATCAAGTAAAAACCATGTATATGAATACATGGATAGGGCACCCGATCTTCTGGAAGGCATGGGTGGCATCCTGCTGCTTTGAAAAAGGTTTCCTTTCTCAAAATGTATAAAAAGAAGACAGCCCTCCTTCCCCTTGGCCGTCTTCCCCCGTGACTCTGCATCCAATAGTCGCCTAATTCCTATCACCTCCAAGCTTTGATAAACCTTGAACTTCAAGCCTCATCCTTTCTACTGAAGCTCCCCATCCTGCATGTCTCTCTGCCCTCCTCTGCCTCCTCTTCTCCATTCCATAAGCCCTTCTTCCCTTCTTTCCTTTGCCACCCAGCAGATGCCAGACTTTATTGCCTCACCAGCTCTCCTGCCCATACTGTCAAATTCCCTGTTCCATGTCATCCTCTGCGAACTCCACCCAACAAAGCTCTAAACCTACCTCAAAACCACCTACGTTACACTAGCTACGGCAGGAAAATGCAAGATCTCTGGGTTGGTGACTAGCCCACAAGTTCGCCTTAATCCAGATCCCAGTACTTTCCAGCAAAGTGGCTTTCTCCAGCCTTTCACTGTCTCCATTCCTCACATTCAAATTTGTTCTTCCCTCTCCTTAAATCCCAACCCTCCTCACAGGAACGTCCTCAGTCCTCTGTTCACAACTATACACAATTGTCATCAAGCCGCATCCTTTTCTTCCTTGTCTCCACTAAAAGGGTTGGAGTTGATGGTGCCCTATGCTCCAGAAATCAGCCTTCATATCTTTGCAGGCATTCCCCTCCACCAGATACTCCCTTTTCAATCGTGGGTCATCATCCCTCTCCAGTGACTTTATCCCTATTATAAACCACACCCACTGGCCATTCTCAAAGAGTCTGTGGAATTTTTAAATCCTCTATTATTTGCTTCAAAATAAAAAGCATGGCCTAAGTTGACAATGGAAACTGGCTAATAAGTGCATGCGAGTGCTTTGTATTATTCAGTTACTTGTTTTATAAGTTTGCATTTCCCATTATAAATATATCTTTGAATCCTCCATGGACCCTAGACTTTTCTCAGCTCCCTGTACATTTTCTCATGACAAGTCTTACTCATCCTAGAGGTCGTGACTTAAAACATCCCTGCATACACCTCCAGCTCCTCCACATAGGGCATGCCCTTCTCAAAAATTTGAGATGTATACGTTCAGCTTAAGTATCTTTGTTCAAATAGAACTTTATATGGGTTTGATGTAGCATGAATAATAAAAACCCAGAGACAGATATTGGGGTTCAAGCTGAAGATCAGAAAAGCAGAGCAGCCAACCACTAGAGAGACCTTTTACTTCTACCAAATCTTCAGACTCAGAGGACGAGATCCTGTCTCCACAAGTCCTCAGACTCCACACTCCAGTGAGGTGCTGTCTCTTCCCCATTATATTCCTCTCTTTGCCCAGCCATATCATTCCTGTCTCCACCTCCCTAGTGATGGGATTAAACGTGTGTGACTCCCAAATACTGGGGTTAAAGGTGTAAGCCATCACCTGGATCTATTTCTGGAATGATTTTGTGTAGCCCAGGGTAGCCTTGAACTCACAGAGATCCATCTGCCTCTGTCTCCGGAGTCCTGGGTTTAATGTTGTGTGCTCCTACTGCCTGGCCTGTATGCCTGACTAGTATGTCTGTTTTGCCCTCTGATCTCCAGGCAAACTTTATTTATCAAAACACAAATAATATACCACTATATATATATATATATATATATATATATATATATATGGAGAAAAGATAAACAAGAGACACCTCTGGTTGAGCTTTCGCATGGCTGGCACTCTTCAAAAACATAAGAAAATATTTATGTTATATTAAACACAAAAGAATGAGTTCGTGTACAATCTAAAGCTATATCCATCGTTATGTATTTATGAAGACAGACTGGATACAAAATTGCTAAAATCTACTACTCAACACTAAAATATAAGAAATTACAAAGTATCTGCGGTGTGTGTGCGTGTGTGTGTGCGTGTGTGTGTGTGTGTGTGTGTATGTGTTGCCTGCAATGCTAAGAGGTTGACCCTCGCTTCACACATGCTGTGCACACCCTGCTGCTGCTGCACTTCTGCCCTGTACGGGTTTCTAGTATATGATGTCTTGGGATAGACATCATATACTCTGAAGAAACAAAAACAAAATACAAATATACCTAATAAACCTGGAAATCCCGACCACCAGAAGAGGGGGAAAAAATCAAAAGAAGAAATTTAAAATACCTATTATGTTGACTCTTCCCGGGGCTCGAACATAAAACTTCGGTGTGGACCCAAACTTAGAGTTAAACATCTCTTTTAGCTTCAACAGTCTGAAAAACAAGAGTGGAATATCTCAAGACATCATATACTAGAAACCCGTGCAGGGCAGAAGTGCAGCAGCAACAGGGTGTGCACAGCATGTGTGAAGCGAGGGTCAACCTCTTAGCATTGCAGGCAACACATACACACACACACACACACACACACGCACACACACACGCATACACACACATGCACACACACACACACACACGCACACACACACGCATACACACACATGCACACACACACACACACACACACACACACACGCACACACACCGCAGAACGTCGAAGGTCAAATTGATGTAGCTAATAGAAAACACTCTTTCCTTCCATTATAAAGAATCTAACCATACTTTTTCCAATGAAGGAAGAACATTGGGGGGTGGCGGTGTCAAGACAGGGTTTCTCCATATAGCCCTGGCTGTCCTGGAACTTGCTCTATAAACCAGGCTGGCTTTGAACTCACAGAGATTTGTCTGTCTCTGCTGTGCCCCCACCCCGAGTGCTGGGATTAAAGGTGTGCACCACCACTGCCCAGCTGGAAGAACATCTTTCTAGTAAAGAAGCAGCACGAAATCTGGGTCAGCAGGGCCACAGCCTATGAGGCCTGCACGAGCCTTCCAGCCTCTTCCCTCTGGTGGTAGCTCTTGGGCCTTAGTGTTCTTGGCTTATAGCCACATTCCTCCAATTTCTGCCCCAGTTGTCACAGGCATTCTCCCTTCAGGGCTGTACCTCTTTGGTTTTCCTTCTCAGATCTGCAAAGAATCAAGTCCAAATAAAGGTACATCCTGTGGACCAAAGAAAGCCTGAGTCCCAGGAGCTGCACCCTCAGCCCACACAGGCATTGATAGTCAGAGTGCTAACAGGAGTCACAGTTCTAGTCTAGTGCAGTCTGTAACTACTGTAAAAGTTTAGCAAATAGTTTTCCTGTTCTCTAAAACTGGAGAATTTAAGCTAAACATTCCTCTTGGGTACCACTCAGATCCAAAATTATTATAGTTGATTTAATCATTCGTCATTGTCAAATCATCCCAAATCTTTGAGTAGTACAATAAACATTTACTAGGGATCATCATGTTCAAAAGCTGAATGATTGCTATTAGAAATTAATTTGTTGCAAGAAACAGAAATACATACATACACACATGTGTACACACACGCACGCGTACACACACACATATTCCAAGAGTAAAAATATCACAATGACCGAGTAGAGTCATGCAGACATCACTGTTGGAAGAGATTCAAGATGACCTCCTGGAAGTCTGAAAGTAGCCAGAAATTCTGTTTCCATTGGTGTGTTTGGCTCTTGCTCTTCCTGGCCCATTCTCTCATCCCTCCAAAGATACCATCACCATTTCCCTCTTCTTACTCTGCAGGCCCTTGGCCTCTGTGAACCTCCTCATCTCTGCACCTGCATGCCTTTTGTCTCCACGACACTGTGACTCAGTAACTCAGTGTCCGATGCTATCTGTCTCATGCATTTATATCCTCTGGTCCAAGTTCTCGAAGTCGATAATAGGTTTGGGAGAGTTTAAATCCTGTTCCCATTGTTTGGTACAAATAAGGTCCCATATTTTGTTTTTTTTTTTTAAATATTTATTTATTATGTATACAATATTCTGCTTCCATGTGTGCCTGCAGGCCAGAAGAGGGCGCCAGATCTCATTACAGATGGTTGTGAGCCACCATGTGGTTGCTGGGAATTGAACTCAGGACCTTTGGAAGAGCAGGCAATGCTCTTAACCGCTGAGCCATCTCTCCAGCCCCAAGGTCCCATATTTTGTTATACATGTGATACTCAGGTCCACTCATCCATAGCAGCTCTGGATTACAACAGAGACCCCGGCAGGAATCAGTCTCAGGCTCCTCTAACATTCATTCTCCCTGGAACAGAGCAGGCACTGGGTTTGGGGGTTTGACTCAATATATGAAAGGGTTTGGTCTCCAGCATGGAAAAAGCAAAAATTAAAAATGAAAAACAAACATTAACTGGAACATAAGGTGAATGTAGACAAAATGACTACTTGAATCTGATTCTCTCTACACCTCTAGAACAAGAACACATAAAACTTCACAAGAAGTAATTTTCACTATAGCTAGAGAACATAGACTATCAAACTTTACCTATGACTGAAGTAAAGATGGGAGAAAACAATAAGAAAGGATGGAGGAAAGAGAGAGGCAAGAGAGGATGGGGCTGGAGGTGGTTAGTTTTTCATCACACTGGCCTAAGTTAGAGTCATCTGGGAAAGTGGAGCAGAGCAGGCAGGCACACAACACTAAAGTTATCACTAACCTCACCCAATGAAACACTAAATTACCACTGTCTTCAATGCCTCTAATAAATCCTAATGAAGCCCATGTCTATGTGATTACATAATTAGTAATAAAATATATTTTTTAAAGTACCCTACATGCGTGGACAAAACTACTCCAAGAAACCATAGGTTTACTGAGTGACAATTCCATTGCCAGGAGCCGGTTAACTCCCTAGGAGCTGGCGGTCACAGAGGCCCCTGAGACCTCCAAGCAACACAGGCTTCTACAGCTTCTGTTTGTTCCCCATCAGAACTGCAGGGTAAGACCTTATTACTGAAGACATCGTACGCCCTGGTGCAGGGCATAGAAAGATCAAGACAGAAGTGACCTGAAAACTTTCTCCTTGTTGATTAGCTTTGGCCAGCCCCCGTGGGTGCTATGCAAGCTGCTGGGGGACAACTGCGGTTGACAGTCTTCTTACTCAGCTACGGACCCTGTGGATGACCGCACTGACCAACCAGGAAGATCTAAGTCTGGGTGTGCATACAATAGTGCTACAGTGGGAACAGAGTGGGAATAGGAAGGCTCAACAAAGGGTAACAGAGAGAAGATGAGCATGATCAAAATATACATTATGTAGGTGTATGAAAATGTCATAAGAAAATTATTATTTATAATTAAAGTATGCTAATAAAAACATTTTAATCCTTAATGTGCTAGAAAATAAGGAAATGTCTTTAATTGAATAAAAAGTATTTTTACCAGAAACATTAAACTTCATATTTGATGGCAAAGTATCAGAAGTATTCTCATTAAAGCTTTTCCAAGACTGGAAGGATAGCACAGCAATTAAAAGCACTTGCTGCTCTTCCAGAAGACCCAGGTTCAATTCTAGCACCCACATGGAAGCTCACAACCATCTGTAACTCTAGTTCAGAGGGTCTTCTTCTGACTTCTACAGGCACCAGGTATGTCCATTGTGCACATATATACACACAGGCCAAAAGCTCAGTTCAAGGCCATTCTGGTCTACAGAGTAAGTTTCAAGACAGCCAGGAGTGTTACACAGAGAAATCCTGTCTCAAAAAATAGAAAGCAAGGAAGGAAGGAAGGTAGGTAGGTAGGAAGGAAGGAAGAACTACAAGATTTTAGGTTTCAAATCATAGTCTTCTAAATATTCTCCATTTTCAGTATTACAGGGGTCAGGGTCACCAGATCAATGGAGATGAGAAAATAAGAAACCTAAAAATCACAGAGCGTCATCATAGCACAGTATTGTTTGCAAGAGCCAAAATGTTGAACTAATCCTAAAATACACTATGTCCATATGATCGAATAGCAGAACGGCACGCTGATTATGCTACAACACGGCTGAAAGCACACTGGGGGAAAGAAGCAGTTAGAGGTGGTACCCACGCCCTATTCCCAGCACTCAAGAGACAAAGGCAAGGAGCTCAGTGAGTTCAAGCCTGGTGTATGTAGCAAGTTCCTAGACAGCTAGCATTACATAGAAAGAACATGTCTCAATAAAAGAGAGAGAGAGAGAGAGAGAGAGAGAGAGAGAACAAAAAGAGGAATAGAAAGATAAGGAAAAAAACATTTTATTTGAGATGTCCAAAATGAACAAATCTGAAAGGAAAAAGAAAAAATAGATTAGTGGTTGCTCAAGAATGGAAAGGTAAGATGTAAGGGGTGATATGTATTTTTGTGTGAAGAAAAGCAAAATTTAATTGTGTGTTTTCAAGGGCACATGAATGCCACGGCACATGCATGAAGGTCAGAAGACAGCTTTTAGGAGTCAGTGTCTTCATTCCCACTGAATGAGCTATTGGTACTGACTTCAGGTGGCCATGCTTGCACAGAAGCACTTTCATTCATTAAGCAAACTTTTAAAATGGATGGATTATACAGTATGCAAAATCAGTAAAGTTATTACAAGAAATAATAATCTAGCAGTTTTCATTCATTTGTTTTATGGTTACTTTAGGAAAAGTTTCGTGTAGCCCAGGCTGGACAAGGATAAGCTTGAATTTCTGATTCTCCCATCTCTCCCTTTGTCCCAGATGCTGGGATTACAAAGATATGCCATCATAGGGGTTAATACAGTTCTGGGAGTTTCATGAATGAGGCAAGCATTCCACGGCTGAGTTACCTCCCCAGATTTTGGGGGGATGTGGTAGTTTGAATGACTCCCATAGGTTCCTGTTTGTTGGTAGAACTGTTCAGGAAGGATTAGGAGGTGTGGACTTGTTGCAGTTCCCCCATTCAGTTAGCTCCCCCTGCCTCGCATTGCTCCAGTACCCGCCTGTCACCATGTTCCCCACCATGAAGGCCATGGACTCATGCTCGAAACCATAAGCCCCAAATAAACTTTTCTTCAATCATTTCACTGGAACATCGTGTCTCTTCACAGCAATAGAAAAGTAACTAGAACAGGGCACAGAGCTCACTTAGTCCAGGTAAGCTTTCAATTTGTGGTGACCTCCTACCTTTCCCTCCAGTTGCTGGAATTACAGGCAGTTTCCATTATGCCTTGCCATCCTAACAAATTAAATTTAGTCCTAAAGAAAAGAGATATCAACACAAAGAAAGCTACACGTGAAACTGGACGTTTTATGGGAGAGACAAAAAACATGAGTCAAATGAAGATAGACTGTACTCAGCTCTCTGCCTGCATTTTTTAATGCTGAAAATCAAATGCAGGGACTTGTGCATGCTAGGGAGGTATGCTACCACTGAGCTA